ACTGATTTTTGTATGTTGATTTTGTATCCTGAAACTTGACTGTATTCATTATTTCTAAAAGTTTTTTAGTGGATTCTATAGGGTTTTCTATGTATAAAGTCATGTCACCTGAAAGTAGTGACAGTTTCATTTCTTCCTTTCCATTTTTGATCCCTTTCATTGCTTTTTCTTGCCTGATTGCTCTGTCTAGGACTTCCAATACTATGTTAAATAAGAGTGGTGGAAAGTGGGCATCCTTGTCTGGTTCCTGTTCTTAGAGGGATAGGTTTCAGTTTTTCTCCACTGAGATGACATTAGCCGGGGATTTGTCATATATGGTCTTTATTATGTTGAGGTACCTTGCGTTATATACGCATTTTATTCATTCAGAGTTTTTATCATAAATGGAAGCTGTACCTTGTCAAATGCTTTCTCTGCATCTATTGAGATGATCATGTGATTTTTATTCTTCATTTTGTTAATGTGGTGTATCACATTGGTTGATTTGTGGATGTTGAACCATGCTTGCATCCCTGGAATGAGTCCCACTTGATCATGACCTTTTTAATGTATTGTATTATTTGATTTGCTAGTATTTTTTTTTTGAGGATTTTTGCATCAATGTTCATCAGTGATATTGGTCTGTAATTTTCTTTTTTGGTGTTGTCCTTGTCTGGTTTTGGTTTCAGGATAATGTTGGCTTTGTAGAATGAATTAGGAAGCTTCCCCTCCTCTTCAACTTTTTGGAAGAGTTTGAGAAGGATAAGTGTTAAGTCTTTTTTGAATGTTTGGTGGAATTCACCAGGGAAGCCATCTGGTCCTGGACTTTTATTTTTTGGGAAGTTTTTGATTACTGTTTCAATCTCTTTACTGGTGATTAGTCTATTCAAATTCTCTACTTTTTCTTGATTCAGTTTTGGAAGGTTGTATGATTCAAAGAATTTATCCATTTCTTCTAGATTATCCAATCTGTTGGTGTATAGCTTTTCATAGTATTCTCTTATACTCTTTCGTATTTCTGAGGTGTCCATTGTAGTTTCTCCTCTTTCATTTCTGATTTTAATTATATGAGCCTTCTCTCCTTTTTCCTGGTGAGTGTAGCTAAGGGTTTGTCAATTTTGTTTATCTTTTCAAAGAACCAGCTCTTGGTTTCATTGATTTTTTCCTATTGTTATTTCAGTCTCTATTTTGTTTATTTCTGCTCCGATTTTTATTATTTCCTTCCTTCTTCTGATTTTGGGCTTTGTTTGTTCTTCTTTTTCCAGTTTGTTTAGCTGCACTGTTAGATTATTTATTTGCGATTTTTCTTGTTTGTTGTGGTAGGCCTGAATTGCTATAAACTTCCCTCTTAGAACTGCTTTTTCTGTATCCCATAGATTTTGGCATGTCTTATTTTCATTTTCATTTTTCTCCAGGTATTTTTGGTTTCTCCTTTTATTTCTTCATTGACCCAGTCGTTATTCAGTAGCATTTTGTTTGCTCTCCACATTTTTGTGGCTTTTCTGGTTTTCTTCTTGTAGTTGGTTTTTAGTTTCATACTTTTGTGGTTAGAAAAGATGCTTGGTATTATTTCAATCTTCTTAAATTTATTGAAACTTGTTTTGTGTCCTAATATGCGATCAATCCTGGAGATGGTCCCACGTGCATTTGAAAAGAATTTGTATTCTGCGATTTTGGGATGGACTGTTCTATATATCTACTAAGTCCATCTGGTCTAACGTGTCATTTAAGGCCAGTGTTTCCTTATTGATCGTCTATTTGGATGCTCTATCCATTAGTGTAAGTGGACCGTTAAAGTCCCCTACTATTATTGTGTTACAGTCTATTTCTCCTTTTATGTCTGTTAATAATTGCTTTATATATTTAGGTGCCCCCATGTTGGGTGCATAGATATTTACAAGTGTTCTATCCTCTTGGTGTGTTGTTCTCTTTATCATTGTCTAGTGCCATTCTTTGTCTCTTGTTCCAGTTTTTGTTTTAAAGTTATTTTGTCCGATATAAGTATTGCTACCCCCACTTTCTTTTCTTTGCCATTTGCATGGAATATCTTTTTCCATCCTTTCACTTTCAGTTTGTGTCTGTAGGTCTAAAGTGTGTCTCTTGTATGCAGCATATACATGGATCTTGTTTTTTTTTATCCAGTTGGCCACCCTATGGTATTTGATTGGACCATTTAGTCCATTGACATTTAAAGTAGCTATTGATAAATGTGTATTTATTGCCACTTTGTTACCCTTTGTTTCTGGTTGTTTTAGTTGATAAATATGTATTTATTGCCATTTTGTGACCCTTTGTTTCTGGTTGTTTTAGTAGTTCTTCTCTTGCTCTCTTCCCTTGTGGTTTGATGGCTTTCTTTAGTAATATGTTTGATTTTTTTCTATTAATTATTTGTTTATTTATTATAGGTTTCTGGTTTGTGCTTATCATGAGGTTCATATATAATATTCTGCATATATAGCAATCTATACGGAGTTGATAGTCTCTTTAGTTTGATGCCTTTTTAAAAGCTCTACTCTTTTACTCCCCTCCTCCCACATGTGTTTTTAAAATCATATCTGATCTCTTATTTTGTGTGTGTGTATACATTACCTTCTTATCATTGAAATAGGTAATTTCAGTACTTTTGTCTTTTAACCTTCATATTATCTTCATAGGTGCTTGATTTTCTACCTTTACTGTATTTTTGCCTTTATCAGTGGTTTTATTGCCTTTTCTTTTGGATAATTTTCTTATCCCTATTTGTGGTCTTCTCTTTCCCTCTTAAATAAGTCCCTTCAGAAGTTTTTCTAGAACTGGTTTCTTGCTGGTAAACTCCTTTAGTTTTTTCTTGTCTAAGAAACTCTCTCTCCTTCCCTTCTGAATGATAACCTTTCTGGACAGAGTATTCTTGGCTGCAGGTTTTTTTCCTTGTAGCACTTTAAATAAGTTGTGCCACTCTCTTCTAGCCTGTAGGGTTTAGGTTGAGAAGTCAGCTGATAGCCTTATGGGCTTTCCTTTGTATGTCACTTGTTGCCTTTCTCTTGCTTCTTTAGAATCTCTCTTTATCTTTAATATTGGACATTTTAATTATAATTTTCTTTGTGTGGGCCTGTTTGAGTTTATCTTTTTTGGTGCTCTCTGTGCTTCCTGTATTTTGATGTCTTTTTCCTTCCTTAAGTTAGAAAAGTTTTCAGGTATTCTTTCTTCAAATAGATTCTCTGCTGCTTTGTCTCTCTCTTCTTCTGGGACAACTACAATACAAATGTTAGTGTGCATGATGTTGTCCCAGAGTTCCCTTAGATTGTTCTCATTCTTTTTATTCTTTGTTCTTTTTTCTTTTATTTGTGCAGCTTGGGTGATTTCCTCTAGTCTTTCATACAGCTCACTGATCTGTTCTTCTGTACCATGTAGTCTGCTATTGAGTCTCTCTCATGAATTCTTCAATTCCAGTATTGTATTCTTCATTTCTGATTGGTTCTTTTTTATATTTCCCAATTCTTTATTGACGTTCTCACTGTGTTTATCCAGTCTTCTCCCAATATCTGTCAGCATCCTTATGACTTTTTGTTTGAACTCTTTGTTAAGTAGAGTGCTCATTTCTGTTTCATTTAGTTCTCTTTCTGGGGTTTTGTCCCATTCCCTTGCTTGGAATGTATTCCTTTGCCTCCTCATTATGACTCTTTCTCTGTGGTTATATCTATGTATTAAGTGAGTCAGCTATGTCTCCTGATCTCGGAGAAGTGGCCTTATGTAAGAGATGCATTTTGAGGCCCAGCAGTGTGCTCTTGTCTCATCACCAGTCCAAATGTTCCAGGAGTGACCCCTGTGTGGGCTACTTGTGTCCTTCTGCTGCAGCAGGGTTGCTCTTACTGAAGGTACTCAGGGAGTCTGGGCTTTCCCCCCGGCCAGCTGTTTGTAAATCAGATTTGTGGAGCCCCAGCACTGTTGGCTACAAGGTATAATAACACAGTCCTGTTACAGTTTTCCTGTTAAATGAGTAGGCAATCAGTGTAGCTGCTTTCTAGGCTCAGGAGCTTATAGTTGCTTTAGGTGTCATGCCTGCAAGTCTGTTGTCAGCTCTCTTAGGATTGCAGCTGAGTGGGGCTGGCTCCAGACATGGGAGCACCCAATTGTTTCAGGTTTTGGAAGGTGGGGCCAATCCCCTTTGTGGCTGTTTGTGAAGCACAGGTCTTCTGCCACTCATAGGCCCCACCCCCCAAAGATCCACACACACCATCAACACAGTCTGGCCTGTGCACACTTCCCAACCCCCTGGAGCATACCCAATCTCCCCACTACAGAGGCCCCCACCACTCCACAAATTTACCTGGTCCACAGGTAACCTGGTCCTCACACAGGCCGTACCCCACAGAGGTGGACACACTTGCCTGCCTGTAGAGGACCTATGCAGGCTGAAAAGTTGCCCAAGGGCTTGCTGATGTGTGGGGCTGGTCCCTAGGGTGGGCAGCCTGCCCTGGCTGAACTGGATTAAATCTGCACTCTAGTGCATGTGGCAGACCCCTGGGCTAACAGGCCAGGGGAACTCCAATGATGTCTGCCAGCATCTGTGTCAGCACACCTGTACTAGGTCACAACAATGGCTGCCACCAATGTCTCAGTCTTTGCAGGGGTCTCACCTCTCACCAAGATGCACCCAGAGCCTACCAAGGGAGTCTCTTTTCACCAAAGAGTTGTGCACCTTTCTTTCTGGTGATTTTAGGTTGCTCTCTGAGATGGGTGAATTTGTGTGTGGGCCCTTTAACAGCTGGCATTATCCCACTAATGTTGATAGCTTTTCTGAGGGTATTCCCCATTGTAGTTAGTAGCCAGTGAAGCCAGATAGTATGACACTCATCTCAGGTGTGCTGAGTCTGCAGGATACTTATAGTGGTAACGTGCCCCAACTCAGGTCCCCACTTCTCCAGGGAAGGCTGTGTACCTTAGGGGGTCCCTGCCGTGCTGGCTGTGAAGCTCTGCTGTTCGAGAAAGTGTTTTTTTTTTCTCTCCAGAAGGAATTTCTGCCTCTTCAACCTCAGTCCGATCTGTCCCTTGTTGTGGGGGTTCTTGTTGTCCAGTTTTCAGTTCTCTCTCCGGGGTAATTTTTCCAAGAATAGTTGTAACCTGATTGTGTTTATAGGAGGAGGTGAGATTAGTCTGCCTACACTGCCATCTTGATGAGATCTCCCAAACCAAATTCTTTAAGTGAGAGTTGTCTAGAAGTCTGGAGTTGCCAAGGTAATGGTAACAACAATAACTGCCATAAATGCAGCTCCTTACCATTGACAATATGCTTTTACCTCCACTTCCATCTGTTTTAATTCTCTGTATAACCCTGGGAAGTGGTAGGAAAAGTAGCTTTATCCTCATTTTAAAATGAGGAAACAGGTGAGGAAAAGGATAGTGAAATCCATTGTGGCATTTGTTTTTAGTGTCATTGCTTTATTAGAATATACATGCCTGATATAACTCATCACTGAAAGGCTATTGCCCAGAGGCAACAGTACTATATGTTATGAAACAGACTGCGTTTGGGCATCAGATTTCTCTGTGCAAACATTTAACTTACCCAGGGCACCTGTAAGGGAATATCTTTTTGCCTAAAGTCAAACTACTAGTAATTGATAGAGTAGGCCCTCCAAACTAGATATTTAGACTTCAAGTCCAAGACCCTTTATGCTGTATTATACTATTTCTTTGTGTGATAAAATTTAAGGGATGATCACTGACTTATTCCCAGCACCTTCTTTGGAAACTGGTACGACTCAGGCTGTACCAACCCCATTGAGCTTCACATCAGGGTATCTCCTATTTCTGCCCAACCACAGTCTCTTCATGGCATTTTTCACCTCCATGTTTCTCAGGGTATAGATCATAGGGTTCAACATGGGTGTGATGATGGTGTAAAACACAGCCACCATCTTGTCCTCAGTAAAAGTGGTGGAAGGCCTTAGGTAGATGAAGAGGCAGGGGACAAAAAACAAGATCACCACAGTGATGTGGGAAGCACATGTGGAGAGGGCCTTGTGCCTCCCCTCTGATGAGCGGGTCTTGAAGGAAAGCAAGATGACAGTGTAAGAGCCCACAAGAATGACAAAGCAGCTCAGTGAAATCATGCCACTGTTGGCCACCACAATGAGCCCCACTGCATATGTGTCTGTACAAGCCAGCTTCAGTAAAGGGTGGACATCACAGAAGTAGTGGTCAATCAGGTTGGGGCCACAGAAAGGCAGTTGTACAGTGAGAATGGTCTGGATAAAGGAATGCACAAAGCCTCCTAACCAACAAGTCAGCACCAGTATGGAGCAGACCTTCCAGTCCATGATGGTTGTATAACGTAGAGGCTTACAGATGGCCACATACCTGTCATAGGCCATCACTGTGAGGATAAAGATCTCCGTACAACCAAAAAGATGGACACAAAAGAGCTGTACCATACAACCAACAAAGGAGATCCTTTTGACCTTGGCTTGGAAGTCAATAATCAGCTTGGGGGCTGTAACAGAGGAATAGCAGATGTCAACAAAAGATAGGAAGCTAAGGAAGAAGTACATTGGAGAGTTGAGATTTGGGCTCCTTTGGATAGTCATTACAATAAAAAAATTTCCAGTCATGAGGATCATATAAAAGAGTAAAAACAAAAAGAAGCATAGTTGCTGCACTTGCTCATTTTGGGAGAGACCTGTGAGGATAAATTCAGTAACATTATTTCCCATGGAATCTGGGTAGTTCACAAGAGAAAAACACCCTGTGACTTTACCTATAGGAAAAAAATACATAAAGGCCAATTAGATTTGGGCACATGGTACCATAACATTATTAGTATTATTTTTAACAATTATTCACAAAATTTCTTACTTAAGGTATTGGTTTGGGTAAAGTCTGTTTCATAAAATTATCAGAGATTGAGAAAGAGAGGTGGGGGAAGGAGACAAAGAATGAGAGAGAGAGAGTGGGAGAGAGAGAAAAGAAAAATTAAAGTTTGATAGGCTTTAAACAGATTCAGGGATGCAGTCTAGGCTGTCCCCTTAAGCATCAGTAGTCTGAATCATCATTGCTCCAGAATTCAAATTAAGTCTTTCTGTTAAATCAAGGCTCCAAGTGATAACCACCAGTTTTTTTACTCCAGGATACTTTCTACTTATTTTCCAATTGATATTTGGAATCTAAGTAACCACACACACACACACGTTTGTGATCACAAATAAGGAAGTCTTAAAATGTAAAACTTTGAGTCGGACCTGGGATATAATTAACCTTTTATACGGCTCTTTGGTCTCCCAAATTACTGACAGCCTGATTGGTTTGGTCTTATTTTAGATTATACCAAGACTGCACTCTTCGTCACTCCTTATGTGTCTAAAAGTTGGGAAATGCATAGAGGCTTTACAAAAAGGAACCACCATTTGCAAGATGCTCAAGACTTCAGATTCTAGTTAACATTAGTAGTCATAGGATATGGGGAGAAAATAACTCTGGGCTAAGTTTAGTCTGCCTCTGACAATGACCAACTGTGAGATCCGGGGCAAGTTGCTCACCTTCATAGAGATGCAGTTTCTTGGTCATTGGGTTGGGTTATACATGAACACCAAGTTTTCCTCCAGTTTTTATGTTATATCATAAAATTCGGGATGATCTTTTCAATACAATGAATCACAGTCCTTGAATGTGTGTTCTTTGTTTCGTTATCTTTGCATTCTTTTGAATCAAAAGGTGTATGAAGGTGGGGACGATGTGTAGGTTTGTTTATTTTTGTATTGCCTGAGTACAATTACTGCTTCCATTAGCTTTGCAAGTCTTTTATTATTTTGTGTTCTTTTTTTCTGCTTTTTCTCCCCAAATCCTCTTGGTACATAGTTGTATATTTAGTTGTGGGTCCTTCTAGTTGTGGCATGTGGGATGCCGCCTCAGCATGGCCTAATGAGCCGTGCCATTACTGCGCCCAGGATCCAAACTGGTGAAACCCTAGGCCACCAGGAGTGGAGCACATGAACTTCACCACTCAGCCATGGGGCCGGCCCCTATTATTTTGTTTTCTTTTATTGCACAAACCCTTGTGTCCAAGGCTTTGGCAAGTCACTTAAGCTTTTTGAATCTCAGTTTCTTCATTCTTCAAATGGAAATGATACTGACTACTTTCGAGAATTTTAAACACCAAACTTAGCCCAGTATATAGTAAGTGCGCACTGAATTATGCCTTTTCATTTTCCAACTAGATTACCAGTACTTAAAATATTTTATTATGAAAAATTTCAAACATATACAAAATGGAGATAATTATATTATAAACTCTCATATGATGGTCATTTAAATTAAAACATTATTAATGTTTTGCTACATTTGCTTCATCAATCTCTCTTTTTGTTTTCTTTTCTTTCTTTTTTTGCTGAGGAAGATTTGCCCCGAGCTAACATCTGTTGCCAATCTTCCTCTTTTTGTATGAGAGCTGCACAGCCACTGACAAAATGTGTAGGTCTGTGCCCGGGAACTGAACCCAGGCGACTGAAGTGGAGCACACTGAACTTAACCACTAGGCCACTGGGGCCGGCCCCATTTCTTTTTTTTTTTTGCCAAAGTATTTTAATACAAATCCCAGTCATCATGTCATTTCAACTTCAATATGCTTCAGTATCTGTGTTTCTAAAAATAGGGAATCTTCGTACATAAACACAAAGACATGATCACATCTAACAAAATTACCAGTAGTTTCCTGGTATCAACCAATTCCTGCTCTGCTGAAGCCACACTTTGCTCCCCTCTCTCCTTCCAGTGCTTGGTTGAGTGCCTGCTAGGTCTGCTCGGTACCACATGGTGGCTCACTGTGGCTACCGAACACTTGGAATGTGGGTAGTAAGACTAAGAAACTGAAGTTTCAATTTAATTTAATTTAAATTTGAAAACTAGAGCAAAGTAAAATATTTTGATGTGATAAAAATGTGGGTATATTAGGTTAAACAAAGTGGTATTAGATATTATTAAAATTAATTTCACCCGTTTCCTTTGCTTTTTTATGTGGCTACTAAAACGTTTAAAATGACAATGTGGCTTGTGTTATGTTTTTATTTCATGGTGCTGTACTAAGGATGAGGCCCTGGTCTAAGCACTTGGCTATACTGCCTAATTGAGTTCCTGTAACTCAATGAAGTATGTAGAACTATTCCCATTGTTCACATAAGCAATAAACTCCTTCCCTTAGAAAAGTAAACTAACTTTATCTGCAATCATGTAGCTGGTCATTGGTGGAACACAGATTCAGCCTTGATATATTCTCTTAGCTGGTGCTACATTATACCGTATATAAATGTACAATTTACATTGGCCTTTAAAAATATTGATAAAGCTTTGGGATCCTCTTTATTGTTCTAGGGTCTCTGGGATAGAAATCGCTACTTTCATTAAGTCAAACAAAATTCAATTAACTAAGATAGATACCAATACTCTTTAATAAGTTAATGGAATACTGATATCTGTGCCCTTGAAAGACCCACTGGCCTTATAAGCAATCAGTAGTTTCTGGTATAGGATGGGTATAGTCTTAGAAAATGGTTCAGATTGTGGAAAGGAATATTCAGATTCTCCTATTTCTCCTGTCAGAGTCTGGGACTCAGTAGGATCCTTCATCTCGCCCTCCCTCCCTCCATTGCCACCTGCCATATGGTGCTGGGACTAGGCATGGGTTATTTCACATTCTGAAAAGCATTAGTACCTTTTAACCTGTAGTTGAATAAGGAAGAAGGCAAAATCTAAGATGAAGCCTTAGGCTTCACCAAATGCTAAATTCCAATGCCTTGATTAAATGCTGCATCACTGAAAAAATTTGTCAGCAGATTTTTCCTGAAAGAGGTGGGTTTCCAAAAGTCTGCAGTAGAGGCATTTCTTGACCCCTTTAAGTATCCTCTGTTTATTTCTATAGTACTTAAAATCTCCGACTTTTTAGGCTACTTGTGTGTCTCCCCCTATAGACTGTGTGCTACTTAAATGCAGAAACCATTCTTATTTGTGTGGATCCCAAGCACTTGGCCCTGAGACTAGCATATACATTAGGACTCAGTGAACTTTGAAGGTGGGAGGGAGAGAGGAAGAAAGGAAATAGAGTTACTGGTTTATGAATCTTTCTACATAACTTGGTTTTAGCACTGCCCATTTTTTAACATAGAAAACTTGTTAAAGGCACAAACTCTTATTATATAGAGCTGGATTTTCAACCTCTGGCCACACCAATTACCTGTTGTGTGGCATTAACCAAGTAATTTTACCTATTTAATAATTGTCCACATCTGTAAAATAGGGCTAAATAAATCCTGCCTCATGCAGTGGATATGAGAATTAAAATAGCTAATGTATATCAAGCTTCGCACAGTGTCTGGTCCACAGGAAGTTCTTAAAAAATGTTAGTTGTTCTTATTTTTATCCTGCATATCATAAAGGTGGGACACATAAAGCAAAAAAGAAAGGTGATAAAAGTGACTTCACTTACCCGGAGAGTATGTAAATATTCCCATCATTTTCCTACTTCTGGGTCCTACAAATCCTCTACCCAGCCATGACCCGTCCAAAAACTACTCCTATTCCAATCGTCTTAGATTTCTGTATGTTGCTTTGAAAAATAGTCTGTCCCCATTTAGTCCTTAGAATTGCTGACTGGGTCACAAAGCAGAGGCTATTTGTTTTGGAGCCTGAAGCAGAGTGAAGTTTTACATTGTTAAGTTTTTGGCAGGTACTTAGTTATCAGCAAGGACAGAGAGTAAATACGATAGAAATATGTGACTTTGGGATCAATTCCGAAGGTTAACTTACTCTCTCCCAGAGATCCAGAGTTTTCCCTCAGCTCAGTGTCAATCCAGTCAAGAGTCTTGGCCAAAGTCTCTTTCAAATCTGAATTCTATGGCTGGGTAAGGAGAAAGAAAAGCCCCTTGATGCCCAGTTGATGCTGTGTTCTCTGTGGCTCTCCTCAGTAATGAACTCCCATGAGCCTTCTAAGTTGCTTCCTCTGCTGAAACTTCTCATCAAGGATACATGTAAGTTTTCCTGCTGTGTTGGTCAAGTGTGGGGGCCCACTTGGGGAGGGCTTCTCAGAATGGATTCCTCTGGCTTTTATGGTCACTGGAGGTGGATCACCCTGCATTTCCTGTCTGACATGCATTCTTTAATCTAATAACAATGGATTCCACTGTTTAAACACTTAGTATATGTCTTACATTATTATAAACAGTTTATATGCATTCCATTGTTTCTTTTGTTTTGTGTTTAGGGCCTGAGTTGAATTGAATTGAAGCATGAATTGTTGTATGGAGGCTCATTATTATCATTGTTCCATGCGTGATCTACTTCAGTATTAATTAATTAATTAATTAGTTTAATAAATAAATAAATACTTATAAGCCAAAACATAACCCAAATGTTAGACATTATGAATAACTTACATCTACCTGTGTGTCCCTTCCTTACCCCATCCCATTGCCTATCCTCAAATACCAAGAGATAACTGTATTCTAAATTCTATGTATTTTACTGTTTTAAATTAGAATTTTGCTGATATTGAACATTTTTTCATGACTTTAATGCCATTTAGCTAGTGTTTTTATGATGTGCCTTTTTCTTGGTCCCATTTTTGGGTTACTTATCTATTCTTATTGATTTGTAGGGGTTCTTTTTATATAATCTGGATATTATATAATCTGGGTAAAAGTACCCTGTCATATCTATATCTACGTCTCTGTGTCTATCTCTACCTCTGTATCATCTCCTCTCCTAATTTTGTAGCTTCCTTTCTTCCCTCTCTCTAAATGGTATGTTTTTTTGGTGAGGAGATTGGCATCTCCTCACCAAACATCTGTTGCCAATCTTCCTCCTTTTTTTTCCCTCCCCAAAGCCCAGTACATAGTTGTGTATTCTAGTTGTAGGTCATTCTAGCTCCTCTATGTGGGATGCTGCCATATCAAAGCTTGATGAGTGGTGCTATGTCTGCACCCAGGATCTGAACTGGCGAACCCTGGGCCACCCAAGTGGAACACATGAACTTAACCACTTGGTCATAGAGCTGGCCCCTTAATGGTCTTTTTTGATGAATAGAAGTTCTTTTCATTTTAATATAATTTATTGATCTTTTCCATTATGTTAGTTGATGTTAGTTGTTATGAACTGAATATTTTTGCCCCTGAAAATTTATATGTTGAAATTCTAACCTTCAAGGTGATGTTATTAGGAAGTGGGGACTTTGGAACGTGATTAGGTCATAAGGGCAGAGTCCTCATGAAAGACCCTACAGAGCTACCTTGTCCCTTCCACCATGTGAAGACAAATCAAAAGATGCCTTATATGCACCATAAAGTGGGCCCTCACCAGACACTGAATATGCCAGTGCCTTGTCTTGGACATCCTATCATCCAGAACTATGAGAAATAAATTTCTGTTGTTTATAATCTACCCAATCTATGGTATTTTGTTACAGCAGCCCAAAAGACTAAGACAATAGTACTTTTTGTGTCCTCTTTAAGAAATTCTTATACAGTCAACTAACATTTGACAAGGAAGCCAAGAATTCTCAAAGGAGAAAAGATAGCCTTTTCAATAATGGTACTGGGATGACTGGATATTCACCTGTAAAAGAATGAAGCTGGACCCATATCGTATACCACTCACAAAAAATAACTTAAAATGGATTAAAGACTTAAATGTAAGACCTGAAGCCATGAAAACTCCTAGAAGAAAACATAGGCTTAAAGCTCCCTGACATGGGCCTTTGTAGTGAAGTTTTGGATATGATACTTAAAGGACAGGCAACTATTTTTTATTTTAAAAATAAACAAGTGAAACTACATCAAACTAAAAAGCTTCTGCACAGCAAAAGAAACCATTAACAAAGTGAGA